AAAAAAACAAAACCAAAAAACAAAACCAAACATGTTTTACATTAGACATTGCAAATTACATTCCAATTTCTGCTCCGGGTAATGAAGGAAGACATCTTGTCCGTTACCACTGCACGTACGGGTGGCATTTCAGAAGCTAGCACGCAGTTCCCTCTAACTCGTTGTGGGCAGGGTTAGCTCTGTGGGAAGAGGCGTATGAAAAAGGGGAATATACACTCTGCTCCCTACCAGCAGGCCCCTGCCAAAGGGTAGGGAGAGCCAGAATGACATTCGCAATCAAGTGATAAGGGTAATGCTGGATCACCACTCGGTCAGTGTGATGCTGCAGCTTTTAAAATTAAATTAGTTCATTAAAACATCCCCTCTACAGCTAAGCCACCTCCCTTCTTCCTTGGAAGTTATAGTACTTTGGCAATATCAGCTAGGAGAGAATTCTTGACTGTACGATAACAAATACTTCAGCTTCATCTTAACATATAGAGGAAGAGCACAGAATCACACTTTGATGCCTCTTCCTGCTAGCATTTCACACCTTGAGAGCTTGTGACCAGTCGTGCCGAGAAGTGTTTACTATTAAACATAACAAATTAGCAATAAAAAGGACAGATTTGAGGGAAAACAAGAGGAACGGGATACAGCTACAGATTATGTTCTTGCAATGTCGGGTTACTTACACTTGAAACTCTGCCAGAATCAAGCAAATCCTACTTATCATTGCAAAATCTTTGCCAAAGCACACCCGAGGGCAAAAGTCTCTCAAACAAATGTACATAGATTAAAAGCTGCCAGAAAGATCAGCTAGCGGGCTTGCTGCCTTCTACTTCTTCTACACTGGCAACTTCTTGGATGAAAAGACAACCAAGTCCAACCTCTTTCAGGTGCAGGATATTCCTACCATGGTTTACCTGAGCAAGTCTTCAGCAACTAGTAATGCCGCACAGTGAGGTCATTTTACAGTTTATCCCATCATCAGCTCTGACGTACTTAATTGAGAAATGACTTCACAGAACACAATGCAGCAGCTTGGGAAGCCGGCCGAACTGTGTAGTAAGATAACCAAATGCAACTAGAGACAACTTGAGAGTAAGGACTGTTTGGTGGTGGTTTTTTTTTTTTCCCCCCTCCAAGGGGCTAAAACATCTTCAACCTGATTTTAGAAGCAGGTTAGTTTATATGAAGAAACATCAGAAGATTCACACTCAGGAAACAAATCCTGGACATAGTTCTCTCGTGAATTTCTCACACAGAGTATTTTGAGCAACAAGAAGTTAAGTGGTATGAGCTGATGACACTGCTGCAGGAAAAAACACGTTTGGCTGGGTTGTAGCAAAACCCCTAACAAGCCTTCCTCTTCCACCTACAACCTCTTACGTTACTTTTGTTGAAGCCCATGGAAAGCCTGTCCAAAGATTGAGGGGATATGGCCTAAAATGTATCGTGTCTTCAGCTAGGAAGAAGAGAAGAAATTGATACTAAAATGACTTTTAAGCTTGGAAGGGTGGAAAAGTGAATCATAAAAATATAGCACTCATCAAAAAATGAGATAATCCTCCACTGGCAGATGTGAGCTGGAAGATCCCATGGTAGCACTTCTGAGTTCCTGGGTATACAGTAGTCTCTTAGCAGGGAACTCCCAACGGTACAGCAAAATTAGTCGGTACAAAACAGCAACACCAAATTTGCACATAAATATTCTCTTTCAATATGGGAAAGCAGCTAAAATTCAGAGAAACTCAGAGAGATCATGGCCTATATCAAAACCAACATAAGCCTGGTTGCTGTTTACAGACAGATAGCAGTAACATTCAAGTGCCACATTCCCTGCTTTTGGTGGAACACAGAAGAAATGGAGCAAGTTTCTGAAGCCCTCACATGGAAAAGGCGGCATACTAAAAGCATCCGTAAGCATACCTTATGCATTAGACGTTATCCAACCAGAAACACCAAAAATCGACATTTCTGAATAAAAATTATCTTTCCCACATTGGCTGAGATTTTAGTCTACTGGGAGTCAGTTTTACCAACTCTCCAGCCTTTCAGCAAAGACTTAATTAAAAAGCCAGTGCTCCTAGCATTAAGAACTAGGATAAATGTATAAATCTCGAGATTAAGTCATAAAACCCCCTTTACATCATAGAGGGGGGGAGCAGGGGAAAAGAAGGTCACAAGTATCCACCCATGCCTTTGTACAGTGCCTACACGTTTTCCATTTCAAAATACTGCAGTACACTTACCCTTGAATATGACAGATAATACAAATAAGACCGTTTTATGCTTTATTCTGCCCAAAAATAAAATACCACAAATTTGCACTGTGCTTCATATTTTTGCTTTTACATCCCACTGAACTCATCACCGAATGTACACGTTGAAAGAAAACTAGCTACCTCCTTTGAAAGGAAAGTGTTGTTCTAGATATACTGGTTTATAAGAGACAGGACAGTGGGTGCCCTGTGCCGACAGTAGCATGGGTCTCTTGGTATTGTATGGAGTAGGGTTATATACAATCCCAACTCATAGCCACCTCCACTACGAACTTCAAAACACAAGTCGCTACTCAAGATACATGGGTATGTTACAAGTTCAGAAAAATCTCACATTTCAATACAGTGTTGAGTCTACTCTTCCCCTTCTGGCAAGCAGCACGTTTATGGCAGACCTGAGTATGGGAACTATTTCACACCCTTACGTACTTGGGGAAGATATAGGCCAGATGACAGAAAATACTCTGAAACAGCACAGAATTGGCAATCTCAATATATTTACAGGCAAAGAAGCATATCGCACCGTAATTTAAGTTATTGCTTCTTGTGGACAAGTGTGGTATTCCTTGATCGAGACACAGGACTTGTTTGGTGTTTATTTTCCTCTTCTGAAACACAAGGACTCAGGACGACTGTGAGGATGTTTTTAAAACGAAGGTGTTGCCTATGACTAGAGCTACGGCTACAGCATGGCTGCCGCCAGCTGACCAGCACAGCTGGTGACAGAAAGCTTACATAGGTGAATATCCACAGGCGTTTTCAAACCCAAGCATCACTCTCATGCTTCCAGGGTCATTCTAGGCTTGGTCTACATTACAGGTTTTGATACAAGAAAACCTCCCACAGCCTTTCAGAAGAGATTTATGGATACCAAGAACGTCAAACTAGGATCTAAGGCTGACCTCGTATCAGTTCCTCAAGTAATCCAAGGTATTGCTGCTCCGCCGTGCTGATGGAAGCAGCAACGGACTCTTGCCTGCAAAACCACACACCAGTGCGATTGCTAGTGGCATGCTTTTCAAACACCGGTCCTATATGTAGGACAGCAGTGATAACTGCTGGGTCTTTAAACCAGCTACTTGCATCTGAATACAGAAAATTAAGGTTTTTGAAAAAACAGTAAATGAACTAGAAATATGAACTACCAAATCTGAGCTTAAGTTGTAAACAGATTTATGTTTATAATATTTACCTACTTAATCTCCAAGCCAAAGACTATCTATGACCTCAGAGCACAGGACACCAAAACACTTACCTACCCCTTTTACATTATTACAGGTGAGTTTCTGTAGGCATGAAGCCAACAGTAAACATTAAATCAATGCAAATGCAAAAGCTTTACTTTCAGAAGACAGCAGGTTGGCAACACCACTATTCGAGTATTACAGGTGCTGTAATTCTTCATCCCCTCCCTCCCCCCATGATAATACAAGGCAACACAAATCTTTTCAGCTAAAAAGGAATCTGTACAGGGAACAACTGTACATTTGATGTGACTACAGAATTGAAAGTGTGACAAAATGGTTCTGCTCCCACTGAAAAAGAGAATACGATGGGGCCCCATAGTTACAGGTTCAGCTGAAACCAGTGATGCAAGCCCAAAAATGTAGAAACTGCACCAGCGATTATCTCGTTTGGACTCCTTTAGATTTGCAGCATAACAAAGGCATTTTACAGAGCAACGTTCAGGAGAAAATGTTATCCAGGCAAGAATTGCTCTGCAAGCAAGACAGGAGAGTTTAGTAACACGCACTGCACTTGTTCTCCAGATAGCAGCAGTTGCTCCTGTTCTTTGCCCTTTTTGATATGAATCACAGTAGCAACAAAAAAAGAAAAGCAGAATTATGTATGTACAAGAAAAATGTTCGAAGCGTTGTGCAATTTATTTTAACTATTGAAACCCACTAAAAATGCTGTCGCTAATAAATATTCATAAACTCTTCCCTGTACTGTGAAATTCAGAAACTACTACAATTCATTCTTGATATAAAAAGTATGCTTCTGAGCCCTGATATCTGTTCCAGTTTATTGTCTCCCCCCCCCCCTTTTTTTTTTGTTGAACTGTGTTACTTTATGAGAACTAATACTTATCCACAGTTTTACTTGGTGTACCCCTGCAGAGACATCCTATGTTTCATGGAGCCCTGGTTATACCAATATAATACAGTAAAATAATAATAAATTAAACAAATGCAGGTGCATTAAAAAAAACAAAAACAAAAAAACCCAACAAGCCCAAACCACACCGTCAAATGCTGGTCTCCACATGAAGAGACCAAGGATTTAGATGCAAAGTACTACAGATCCTGCCATTAAAAAAACATTCAAACAAGGAAACAAAAACTTGCGCGTAAGTGTTTTAAAAATTAAACACAAATCCCACCTCGATGTTATCTCACCCATGCCTGTAAAAAACCCTCTTGCTGTGCCCACATTTGCAGTTATTCATTTACACCTCAGGAGGCAGCCTGGAGATGAGAGTAGTACAATAAAATAATTACCTGAAACATTTTTAAAAAAATACCCGTTAAACAAATCACCTTAACTGGCAGCACTTAAAATTGGTAATTCTTTTTTTTTTTTCCTATTAAAAAAAAGTTGCATAGCTGTAAGATTTTGCTTTGCTGCATTTTTTTTGTTGTTTTTACTCACAAGCAGTAGAAGAGAAGTTTTAGTTACTTAAATAGCAATACGATGTGCAGATTTCAACAATCCCTATAGCTTGATCAATATAAATTAGTTACCTGTCTTGGTTTTACTCTTTGGACTGCATTGTGACAAAGGTTTAGTTACAAAATTTTGAAATATAGTATTCCTATCCACAGAAGTTTATGTTTTCTGTTCTTGAAAAAAGTGAAGAACGTAAAACAGGGTGTGAATTCAGTAAATTAAGGTCACACTGTTACATTATATTTAGTTTGCCATTTACTCTTCTTCAGCCAACGAGAAGGTGAAAATGTTCCTACTCAAACCCGGGGCCATCCTCCTGCAAGGGTCTCGGATAGCACGTATCGAACGTCTCCGCTTCCACTTGAGGCAGTAGGAAACGTCCAATAACCCGCTTCTTCACAGAACCAGAAGTTAGGCTGAAATTAGGAACTTTGGCCTTCGATACAAAACAGTGTCAGTAACGTCTGTGGGGAGTCGATTGTTACAGAATGTGCAGCATTTTCAAAATCCCTGTGTGTCCTTTGCATGAGTGTTTGGTATACTGAGCACTACTGGCAAGTAACCGGCATCTGCAATGCTTTTTCTGTGTCACTGTCCATCTTTGCCTTTTTCAGCCACAAAGAACTGTAAGTCTCAAGCCAGGCACGCTGTGTTCAGCAAGGGAACCTCACATCTCCTATGTTTTCTGATCAGTGGAAGCAGCTGTTGAAAAAGCAGAAGACAAAAGTACCATCGTTTCAGCTATTTCAGTATATAACACACTCAAACGGCATAAGCACAACCAACCACCGTGTTTTCCTTCCCCTTCTCCTTAAGCCCCAATTATCACCACCTCTGCTGTGGAAAAAAAAAGAAGCAAATTGGATTTAATGTGAGCTTAGACACCCATGAGCATGTACAGAGACAAATATATTCATAAACAGCACGCAGGCTTCTTCCACAGTTCAGTTGCTGGGGGCAATATAGGAACCGTGTTTGTGTATTAATATCGGCTAACACCGCCCTGAGATTAAAACAACGATCCCTGTAGCAGGATACCTTCCTTCAGGTTTTCACTGCTACCCCTGTAGCAACCATACCACTGCAATGTGACCTGCAACACAGACTCATGAAGCAAGATGAAACAAATGAACAAATAAATGCCAACGATGAAGTCTTCAGATTATTTTTTTTTTTTTAAATCTCCATCAGAACAACAAAATCAAACCCTCAGCTACCAACCAGAATTTCAGATATCTCCATTCCTTTAAGAATTGTGATGATTTTTGGTGTGTTTTGCAACGCTTAGGGGCGGCAGTTTAATGCAAGATAAAGTTTTCGAACTAGTCAACTAAAATAATAAACCTATCCTTTAAACCTTTGACACTGATTGCAGATCTGAAATCATTAACACAAAACATAAGCTGGAAAAAAGTGCACCTCTGTGAGATGGGATGGATAGAAACATGTTAACATTTTTAATTTATTTATAGATTTTAAACATTCTGGAATGCATTAATGTGAAAGTGGTTTTGAAAATACCTAGTTTCAACTTTTTCATATGATTCCAAAAGCTTTCTGTAGAAAGAAATGCCAGTACTCATGGAACAATCTAAAATTACACAATTGTATTATTTTAATTTTGTTTCATTTCCATGGAAAAAATGCTCTTTAGAAGGTAATGTTAAAACTTTATTGGCACTGACTTGCCACTTTCCAGTACTAAAACTGGAATACATCATTTCAGACCATGCCATATAAGGAGGCAGAAACCTTTTACATATTGCAAAATACGTCAATACTTACCGATTAATATTGCAGTTCTGAGACACAGTAGCAAATTCACAAGTTAAAAAAAAAGAACATAAAGAGTTATTTCAGATAATCAGATATTTATTGTTGAAATGTACCTGTCTAAAAATAAGTATTACCTAAAATCATGAATCTTGTCTTAATCTGATGGATGCTCAGGGCAAGATCTATTTACTTCAAACCATTCATCTATGCAGCTGTTGGATACAAGACAAAAATAAAAAAAATTGACATGAATATCTCAGTAACATGTAGCAGTAAGATACAAACGTAAATTGGTTTCTCATAATTTCAATGACTAGCAGGATTTTATATTATACAAAGAAGCATATGTATATACACACATCATTGGAAAATTTAATAACCCCAAACCACAATAATATTTGGATATTAAACAGTGTTGAAAAACTAAATTTCCTAAGCGTTAAAATTTTCTAAGGAAGCATTTTACAAGTTACTACCCGGGTTTTATAGACAAGTTAGTTCACTACCAACCCTATCATCTTGCTTATATCATTCATTGATATTTTACTTCCCGTAGTTAGAGACACTTCTGAAAACAAATACGAAACAGGTTTAAAAAGTGTTCCCTCCTCTCCCTTTCAAATCTACTAGCATTTGACAAAACTTAAGGACACACAACCTAAGCTCCCTAGCCATGATTTGCACTCCTTTCCCATACAGGTGATTTTGCCTTATTTTTCCTGTGGGCTTTTCATGCAAGCATGAGAAGACTGTAGTAGGGAAAACTGACTTCAAATACATTGGTGGAGATGTATTTGAAGAAAAACATCTTTAGGGTTGCTGCTATTGTTTCTTTGTTGTTGGTTTGATTTTTAAATGTAAAAAGCGACCAAGTTCTAGTGCTCCTTTAAGCACCCCTTAGAGGAGTCACCCAATAAATGCAACCTTATGGAATTTTATACGCATCCTGAGGAATACTTGCCCTTTATGATATATGCAGAGGCAAGGCAGCCGTGCTATAGTATCTCCTTGCTGCAGCTCTTCCAGGCATATTGCACACTCCCCAGCATCTTTACTCAGCACATCCTCTGAAGAAAGAGCACAAAGTTAAAACAGTTAAAAAGCAGACTACTACAAGCGAAATGTTCTTTATTCAGAACATCAAGGCCAGCTACAGAAGATACTTCTTGTTCTGCAGAAAGCCATGTCAAGGCGAGGATCAGTCACACTTACACACCAGCTGACTGAAGATTCCTGATGGGAGACATTTTAACAGCTCAAATTAAAACACGGTTATGATTCAGTTTCTTGCCTAAACACAGCCGTAGCTCAAAATGAAGTCCTGTAGACAGACACCCATATGGAGAAGAAGGGTAGCCATAATCAACAGCCGTTACCCTTTGGAGTTTATACTCTGTCAGCAGATCCATACCCCACCACACAGGCCGCTCTGATCTGACCTCGGAAGCCTGTGCTCTGAACCACGCAGCCACAGCAGCCACACACTGTGCTGCTGACCCCAGGAGCTAAGCATTGGAGAAGTTGGGTTCTTTGTACAAATGGTACGTAATGCCTGCAGGCTTTGAGGATTCATGCTGGGTGGGTTCTCCCTAGCTGTACTTTCTTCCCCGTGCTTGGTTTTCACTATGGAGGTTAAGTTCAAGCCTGAATGTAACATTTCTCTGGACAGGATGCTGCAGGTAATTAACCAGGTAAAGATCTTCTTAACTTCTGAACACTTAGCCTGTCATTTGCTTTTTCTACTCTCCTACTCGCCTCTCTTCTATACATCTGGCTGTCTTTTCCCAGCCTTTCCAATACTCATATTTCACACCTTCAACCTCCTCTTCTCAACGTGTCAGCATGTTCTACCACATCCCATCCACCTTTTCCTCAGTGTAAAGTATGCAACTGTTAGCAATAGGAGTGGGAGTTTTCCATCAGGGAAAGATCAGTGCTGTATAGCTCCAATGACCCTAAATTCCTGGAGATACTGAGGTTTTTTGCAGCATTACCAAGTTCCATAACAAAGGAGGAGAAAGTAAGTTAGTAGGAATGCACAAGAGTTGGCTTTCACACAGAAGTTTCTGGGAAAATATATTCTTTTTAATAAAAACCTTCTCTCTTGGACACTTCTCTTAGCCAGAACGTGGGATGCAGAATTCGGTCTTAGCACAAAGCAAAACAGGAGATCACGTAAGGCCCCGTTTGCCAGCAGCAGGTTAGACTCGACCTCACACAGTGCACAGAGCATTTCCAACATGGGACCACGTAGCAACCAAGCTGGCTATCTCTGGCAGATCAGAAGGGTGCACACTTGGCAAAGTAAAGCCCACGCGTTCAAATTTCCACAGTTTCATGGGAAAAGCTTCCCCTTCTTAACCAAAAGGAGCCTTAAAGGGACTGTTTATGGCGACTACGGTCCCCAGGTACGACTGAGAAACCACCAGCTCTACGCTATTCTCTCCAGTGGCTCCAATACTCATCACTATGGCATTCCAAATACACAGAAAATGACAAGCAGACAACTAAAAAGTTACCATTGCAGCAAAAAGTGAAATGAAATTAGGTCCACCTTGTTTCCCTGAGAATGACAGCAAGCTGCCTTGCAGGTGCTTGGGTTTCTAAAAGAGTGCTCATTTCAGTCTCCGCTACATTCATTGGTTATGCTAAAAATACTGTATAATGCCACACGTGGGGCATCTTCATGAGGATATGTGAAGAGTATCTAACATGAGGTGAACTGTTATAAATAAAAATATTAAAAACAAATTAATGAACAATATACACCTACCACAATGAAGAAAATTAAAAAATGTATTTTACACATGGTAATATTATTGGTGGGTATTACATTAAGAAATTGCTTCTGTTGTTCTATTAGAAGCTGTAAGCTTCCAAAAACATTAGAGGTACCTAAGAGAGAAAGCAATTTAAAACAATACAAAAGATCTTAAGACCTCTTGTCTGTTGTTACAAAATCCTGACACTAAGAACTTGCCCAGAAGAGGGTGCTAAGGATAAATACTTCCTTGAGGTGTTTTTTTGGTTTTCTTTTTTATAAAAAGATACTTTAGTATCTGGCACCAGGAGGCAAAGACTCTCCAGACAGCATTGTCCTGCTACAGAGATATTAATCTTTGCCTGAGGCTCTCAGACACTACCCTCCTAGACTGCCTCTTTACACAAGTACTTTGCCAAAAGTCCTACGAGCAGGTCTACTCTCTTCCCACAGTTAGGTTGCGGGAAGAGGCACCCGTGTATCATATACACAGAGCATACTTAATAAAAGTCATTTTTTTCCGTGGAGTCACTTTATCAGATCAGCAGCTGGTACCCACAACAAAATGCCACTAAGATACCTCCAGTGAATTAATCCCCAGCCTCCCTCCCTCAGCACTCTCAAGAGGGAAGCATTTAGTCATGTTTTGATGACAAAAATTAAAAAGCTGTCCAATAACAATACAATTTATAAAAGAAAACATTCCTGTGAACTGCTTTCACATCATTCTCTGTTGTACATGTCTGGCCTACCATGCACTCCACAGACTGTACAACACTTGGGTCTGAACTCCCGCTGAGCGATTTAACAAGGTTCTGCACCTTTCGGCTAACATTAGGCAAGATGCCAATTTAAACATTTGTATCTCCCACCAGCCCTGGCCTAAGTGTCTGAGACTTCTTTTCTTCCCTCCAGTACTCCTGTACTCTCCCGAAATGCCATTAGCCTCCCTCTTGCCAATCACGGCCCAACTGCACAATTCCCAAACAGCTTGCCTCCCTCCCTCCCTTTACCCAGGCTTTCCCACTGGGCACACACTGGGCTTTGCCGAGTCATGCCAGAGGGAGCTGGTGCGAATGCTGACGATGGCTGGCATGGACAGGGCCTCAGAAAACACAGTGGAGTTCTGCCATCCCTGCAGAAGAGATTTTGTTAACGGGTTTCAATACTTTTCTTCCTCTGAAATAACGAGGAGTGCATTGCCTA